ATTCAGATAGAACCTCAAGCTATCCCAAATGATGACGATGTTCTTAACTTTCAGGGTATAGACACTCGTTACCCAATCTACCAAATTGCTAAGGTGGAAAAAACAAAACAATTTGCCTATAAATGTATCCGAACACAATAAGGGTACTATCGTACACAGAATAAGCCCAGTTCCGGAAAAGATAGCCAGGATCAATTTATTTCTGGTTGAAAAGGACGGTAAAGTGATCAAACAAAACATAATGGAGAAACCCACTTGATATTTGAGAAGCTCACAAGGAGGACTGTCGAGGTGTTGGACAGACTGCTGTCAGGATTGACATGCCTAAAGAGAATGAAAACAGAATGAAATTTATAAACCATAACAAACAAAAGCCCATACCCTACGTCATTTACACCGACTTCAAAGCCCTCATCAGAAGAATCGAACACACCATGCCGACACGAATAAACAAAAAAAACACAAGAACACGAGGCTTGTGGGTTTGTTTGCCTGGTCGCCCAATGCGATGGGAAAACCAATGCTCCCGTGATCTACAGAGGCCACGTCACGGCTGAAAGAATTCTCACCTGTCTACAAAACCAAAAAGAAAACAATCAGGAAAACTTTATCTAACATTTTGCCCATACGTATGATGACGGATGACTGGAGAGGTCATAATAAAGCAAAGAGTTGCCATGTGTGCGACCAACCCCTGAACAGTGATTCCGTGAGATATCATTGTGACGTCACGGGTCATTACAGAGGCGCTGGCCACAACGCGTGTAACTTGAAGCTTAAAATCGATCCCAAGAACATCCACATCCCCGTGGTGTTTTACAACCTTCGCGGTTACGATTCTCACTTAACCATGGAAGCTATCTCGAAAATCGATGGCAACTTAACATGCATCCCCAACAACATGGAAAAATACATCTTGTTCTCGTAAGACAGCCTCAAATTCATAGACAGCACCCAGTTTCTGCTATCATCGCTTGACAGTTTAGTGAAGGCGAACAATCCGGACGCCTTCGCTATCATGAATGAATTCACTGACGTGTCGACACGACCCGTGTTGCTAAGGAAGGGTGTTTTTCCCTTTGAGTACATGGATGATTGGTCTAGATTCACCGAAACACAATTACTTCCCATTGACTGCTTTCACCTGTGCTCTTTAGTGCTCTTATCTGTGTATTTGTTTACTATCCCAGTGCTTACTGAAATGTGATATCTTGTGATTCCTTGTTTTGTTCTGTCTCATGTGTTTTACGATGCAACCAGAATTTCCTTCGCAATAATAGCATTATCATATTTCTTACGGTATTTAGCCCCGTCAATAGAACAGCGCATCAGTTAGCCATGAACAACGATTGCTGATTGAGAACACCGACACATGGGTGTAGAGCGCAATTTATTTTTTAAGTATCAGTACAGGCGACGTGTGCTGGTCCGAGTGGTGACGTGTACACATGGAGTGAGGATTCGCTCTTGAACAGGAGTATGTGGACAAACATGCGTAGACAGTTCTATAGAAAGTCCCTGTTTCTGTTATTGACTCAATCCGTGTTTTTATTACCATCCTCATGCTGTGTGCCCTCCTTGTCATGGGGGAGACAGCGGCGGTACAGGAACGGTACCAGAAACCTTGGTTCAACATCTCCAACACGGTTCATGCCTGAAAGTAATGGGCCTATGAAGGAAACGTATGATTCGGCATTATAGGAAGGGTAGTGTTAATGCTAGGCTGGGTTGTGTGAGCGCATGGGTGTCTAGTGTGAGTGTTAGGGTGGCTAGTGTGAGTGTTAGGCTGGGTAGTATGAGTGTTAGGCTGGGTTGTGTGAGCGTATGGATGTCGGGTGTGAGCGTTAGGGTGTGTAGTGTGAGTGTTAAGTGGGTAGTGTGAGTGTTGCAGTGGATTTTATGAGTGTTGGGATGGGTAGTGTTAATAGTGGGTGGGTTGTGTGACTGTTGAGGTAGTTAGTGTGAGTGTTTGGGTGGATTGTGTGAGTGTTTGGGTGGATCGTGTGAGTCTTGAAATGGGTAGTGTGTGTGTTGGGGCGGGTAGTGTGAGTATTGGTGTAGGTAGTGTGAGTGTTGGAATGGGTAGTGTGAGTGTTTTGGTTGATCGTGTGAGTGTTGGAGTGGGTAGTGTGAGTGTTGGTGTGGGTAGTGTGAGTGTTCAGGTGGGTAGTGTGAGTGTTGGTGTGGGTAGTGTGAGCGTTGGGTGGGTAATGTGAGTGTTGGGGTGGGTAGTGTGAGTGTTGGAGTGGGTAGTGTGAGTGTTGGAATGGATAGTGTGAGTGTTTTGGTTGATCGTGTGAGTATTGGAGTGGGTAGTGTGAGAGTTGGTGTGGGTAGGGTGAGTGTTCAGGTGGGTAGTGTGAGTGTTGGTGTGGGTAGTGTGAGCGTTGGGTGGGTAATGTGAGTGTTGGGGTGGGTAGTGTGAGTGTTGGAGTGGGTAGTGTGAGCGTTGAAGTGGGTAGTGTGAACGTTGGGGCTGGTAGTGTGAGCGTTGGAGTGGGTAGTGTGAACGTTGGGGTGGGTAGTGTGAGCGTTGGGGTGGGTAGTGTGAGTGTTGGAGTGGGTAGTGTGAGTGTTGGAGTGGGTAGTGTGAGTGTTGGAGTGGATAGTGTGAACGTTGGAGTGGGTAGTGTGAACGTTGGAGTGGGGAGTGTGAGCGTTTAAGTGGGTAGTATTTTGCATTTTTGTTTGACCCGTTTGTTGGACTCCATTTTTGTTTTCTGTGTGTTGGGAATGGCAAGTCCCTAGGTGGGTTGACTATTGAAGGAAGGAGAACAAGGAAGACAAATCAGTTCTCTCTATACTCAAGCCTTCATTTGTTGGTTTTCCTTCATATTTTATGATTATTTTTTCTCCGTGTCCCCGAAACCACATTACCTATACTACTCGTGGCATGAAGAATGTTTTTTGAGTGGTAAGTCGATTAATGTTCAGTGATTAGTGGAATATTACTTAGTGTTTAGTGGAATATTGTTTTGTGGCATGTAGAATATTGGTTAGTGATTAGTGGAATATTATTGAGTGGCATATGGAACCTTGTTGGGTGACATGTGAAATATTATTTTGTGGCATGTAGAATATTGGTTAGTGATTAATGGAATATTATGGAGTGACAACTGGAGTAGTGTTAAGTGGCATGTGATATAGTGTTGTCTGACAAGTGGAATATTGTTGAGTGATGTGTGGTAAGTATTTGAATGATTAGTGGAATATTGTTGAGTGATTAGTGGAATATTTTTAGTGGCATGTAGAATATTGTTGAGTGTCATACGGAACATTGTTGAGTGGCAATTGGTATATAGTTGAGTGATTTGTGGAATACTGTTTAGTGATTAGTGGAATATTGTTTCGTGGCATGTGTAATAATAACAATGGCATTAATATTGTGTTATATTCATGTCATGAAAGCATACTCATAGCGCATACCCTCAAGCGATAGTAACAGATGTAGTTGAGTTCTTCACAATGGTGTGAGTTTGGGTTTCCTTTGTTTTCAGGTATAGTTCCTGAAAATGTGTGTTTTAGGACTGGTTCTAAAAGTTTCTAGAGATGGAATCAACTTCAGCAATTCGGGTAGAGAGGTCCACAGAGGGGCGGCTGACAGAGAGAAGGATCTGGAGCTGGAAGTTTTCAGCTTGGTGACAGGTACCCGAAGGAGGTGTTGTTGACTAGTTCTTGAAGGGCGGTGTGGGACAGTCAGATCACTCAGGCAGCCAGGTCCAGAACCATGGAGAGCGAGAGTATTTCGAATATGATTCGCTGAGGAAAGCAGAGCCAGTGAAGCGAGTTGAGCACTGGTGTGATGATTGCCTTAAAGCTCGTCCACGTGACCAATCTGGCAGCATAGTTCTGGGTGTGCTGCAGGCATCTCATCTGTTGATGGGTGATTTCACACAGCAAGCTGTTCCAATAATCTGTTCGAGAGAATATCAGAGATCTCACAAGGGAGGCAGCTGCATCTGTCGTCAGAAAAGGGCACTGATGTTCCTGAGGCTCAACTGATCTTCCATGGATAGCGAGGAGTCAAGGTACACACAGAGGATCTTGATAGATGACTTGAAGGTTATGTCTTCTGAATATTTTTGTTGATTCGTGGAATATTGTTGAGTGATGATGGGAATATTGTTGAGTGATAATTGGAATATTGTTGAGTGATAATTGGAATATTGTTGAGTAATAATTGGAATATTGTTGAGTGATAATTGGAATATTGTTGAGTGATGATGGGAATATTGTTGAGTGATAATTGGAATATTGTTGAGTGATAATTGGAATATTGTTGAGTAATAATTGGAATATTGTTGAGTGATAATTGGAATATTGTTGAGTGATGATGGGAATATTGTTGAGTGATAATTGGAATATTGTTGAGTGATAATTGGAATATTGTTGAGTAATAATTGGAATATTGTTGAGTGATAATTGGAATATTGTTGAGTGATGATGGGAATATTGTTGAGTAATAATTGGAATATTGTTGAGTGATAATTGGAATATTGTTGAGTGATGATGGGAATATTGTTGAGTGATAATTGGAATATTGTTGAGTGATAATTGGAATATTGCTGAGTGGCATGTGGCATGTGGAATATTGTGTGGTATATAATGGAGTAGGTTATAGTTGAGTGATTATTGGAATATTGTTGTGCTGCATGTGGAACCTGGTTGAGGAACAACATACTGTGGAGTGTCTGACATTAGCATTGTTGTTATCCACACCTGGAATAGATGAAGACACAAAGGGACATGCATACCAACTGCTCGCTGTGCCACTCACCTGTGGCACCTGTTTTGCAGGTATGTTTGTATTGGTAAACATGAGAACAAATATTCTTTGTTATCTTATGTTTAGTCAGCATAGCTCAGTGACTTCAATGACCGCACAGACGTCCTGACATTCCAAACACTGAATGGTTCCCAGTGGAGCACATCCAGGGAGTCACCATACAGATGGGATGACCACCTAGTGCGGCGCTAAAACTACTTTAGAGGTAAATTACCTGTCATGGCGCTCACTAGTAGACCCACGCCAACCACCGTGGCAGCACCAATAGCTGGATACCAAAGATAGGACACTGTGTACAGGGTGGAGATACCAGTACTGAAACATGGTAGAGAGGACACTGTGTACAGGGTGGAGATACCAGCACTGAAACATGGTAGAGAGGACACTGTGTACAGGGTGGTGATACCAGTACTGAAACAGGGTAGAGAGGACACTGTGTACAGGGAGGAGATACCAGTACTGAAACATGGTAGAGAGGACACTGTGTACAGGGTGGTGATACCAGTACAGAAACATAGTAGTGAGGACACTGTGTACAGGGTGGACATACCAGTACTGAAACATGGTAGAGAGGACACTGTGTACAGGGAGGAGATACCAGTACTGATACATGGTAGAGAGGACACTGTGTACAGGGTGGAGATACCAGTACTGAAACATGGTAGAGAGGACACTGTGTACAGGGTGGAGATACCAGTACTGAAACATGGTAGAGAGGACACTGTGTACAGGGAGGAGATACCAGTACTGAAACATGGTAGAGAGGACACTGTGTATAGGGAGGAGATACTAGTGCAGAGATTATCACAGACAAGCTTATACTGGGACCTGAAGCAACAAGGATAGCGGTGATGTCAGTTAGTGACAGCTGCAAGTGCGGCAGGGAATGTGTTATACGCTTGTTTCACCATTACTCTGGAGGGTAGTGCTGGCATCTCTGGCACACAGTTGACGATGAAACAGCAGAGCGTCACACTCCAGTGTGGCCGCTCACATAATCACACATCATCATTGGACGTCTAGAAGACTCTCTCATGTCATGTCCTCTGCCCTTTACAATTTGACGGACAGTTTCATTACTTGCACGAACTCAGCATACTCACTACTCGACAGGACCTTGAACTGTTGTAAGGTTTGAGGACATTGTTGTCGCCATGGAGATGGTGCTGTTGGGGACGCTGCAGTTGTTCGTGGGGTACTCAAGGCTAGACGGTGTTCCTACAACGGTGTAAGCTCCTATAGAGATCCAGAGAGGGAACACCAATCCCAGCACACCGCCCACCACTGCTCCCTGTAGAACATAATATACCAAAAACAGGAACACCGCCGACCACTGCTCCCTGTAGAACATAATATACCGTAAACAGGAACACCGCCGACCAATGCTCCCTGTAGAACATAATATACCGTAAGCAACATTACAAGATTGAAAGATGAAAGGCGCTGACAGTACTTTATCGAACGATGATGTACACATCAAGCATTACGTCACAATGTATTGGCGCCAGTACACCATTCTCGTCTGCCCTCTTGTAATCAAACACTTTTACTTTACGTCACAATGCATGTCAGATGTCATCGCCTCGTACAGTCTCCTACAGTAAACTTCTCTTTACCACCCAGTTTCTTGGTTTGAAGTTGCTGCACTCGGCTAACATCATTTGTGGAAACATCACTCATATTTTTGCGACTGATGTAATGTCTCAGTTCGACTCACAATTAACTGAAGTCACACAAACTGAGCGAAGTATCGTACAATTTTCAGTATGAAGAGTTCTTCAGTTGTATACCGGATGTTGGTGAATCCAACATCCAGACATGCGTCTTCGCGTCAAATGCAATCCACTGACCGTGTCCCCAAAAGTTTCTACATTGCCAGATTTTGAAAATTTTCAAGCCAAACTCAGTGAAATCAGTGAAACATTATCAGCTATCAGGATTAGAAGTAGTTGAAAGCAGCTGACAGGCGAGGAAAATGTGCAGGTACGTACTGTTTTACAAGAAAACTCTGTTTTACATGAAAATGCAACCGGGATTCTTAAGTCTGATAACAAAAATGGCGGGATAGCGAGCCAGGACGGCCTAGTCAACCCGCTGCTACCGACATCCTGAGGAAATTCGACTGTGTTAGAGTCAGTTTAACCAAATCCTGATTCCAAATGAACTGCGTGTGTTTGACACGAAACAGGGTAGTACACAGGAAATTCAGGCGGTGGTAACATTACTGTTTTGTCACCTCAGGTTTTTAAAGCAAGAAATATAGGTAATTTTCTTAGAAACTGGAAAATAATATGGTTATATATTGTTTCATATTTAAGTTTCACACGTCTACCCATTACTGTTTACCACTATTAGACTTTGAATTATTTGTATATGGTGACCCTTGTATGTGACTTGGATTGCACCTGTGTATCGGGGTACCGGCAATAAACTCAGTTGAGCTCAGTTGTGTTGTGACGTTGGTTTGAAGAAAACAGCGACACGGCAACGTTCGCAACGTTCACATTCCCAGAAACCACCCGTGGAATGTCGTGTGACTAGTCAGCTTCATCTGGATGTACTGATCCAAACTTAAACTGGTAGTAGAGATGAGACAGTCATGTTGCCCCATATAGTTTACGTTCCACACAGATGTAATCAAAATAATTTAGAGAAGATATTTAACCCGAACGTAAACCGTCATCAAACTGTTTATCATTTGGTTTTTTTTCTGGTAACGTGTGCAATAACGTAGGGGGCAGACTCGTCAATAGTACAGTCAGCAGTTAGAACACTTAGATTGTTAATTTAGGTCACCGACACCGTCGCTTTTCTGTTTGTTTTCTGCCTCACATTTATCGTCGGTAAGTATTAAATTTGGCTTCTTAGAACGAAAATGCAGTTTACTCTACCACCATGTGCCGAAAGCCATTATAAACGCAATTGGTATTTGTTGTCTTAGAACTTACAAAAGTTATATTTAATGTTTTATGTAGGGATAAAAGGCTGTTATTTTGGCCCATTTCGAGTTCGAGTCCCCGAGCATTCCTCTCGCATGAACTTTGATGCTTAAAACTGAACCTTTGACAGTTCTCGTAAACAGAACCACATTCACGAAACACGTTGTGCATCATCCTCGATATCTCCAGGGTATACGTTACGATCACTCTGCACTATACCCTGGATGCATCCACGCCTTGGCCCGATAATTATATTACCTCCCTTTGCTGGCTCCTCATTCTCACAGTAGCCAATCAGCTAAGCCGCCGTTACATCAGAGCTTGCCAGTGTCAACAGCTTGACAGCGGTCGCAGTCGCGAAGGTTTGTTCGCAGTACCACTCAGATTTGAGAAATAATACAAACAAATTGACAGATCTGAAACTTTACAACACATGTAAAAGAACTCCTTCCACATCTTCAGAGTGCCCACTGCATCAATTGTGTTGCCAAGTTTAAACGGTTAGATAATTTAAGAAGTGAAAGTGAGTTGTGACTGGTTCGCTCAACTTCCCAGCGTAGACACCTGAGTGGATAAAAAGCCAGGCAAGGGAGGTAATAAAATCAACATAAAAAGCCGTGGATGCATCCAGGGTATAGTGCAGAGTGATCGTAACGTATACCCTGGAGATATCGAGGATGGTTGTGCATGTGCATTACCTGCACCCAGGCTCTTTAAAGATACAAGGAATTGTGAAACCCAACCACTTTGATAAAATGCCACGCTTGACACAAGCCTAAAGGAATCAGGCTATCGGTGTGGTGAGCCAAGGTGCTTCAGACCTGATGATGTGTTGCTGATCGTCCACGGCCTGGTGCATCACCTGTGACGACAGCTCGACAAGACCGTAATATCCGAATTTCAGTCTTGCGAAATCAGTTCCGAACTGCTGCTGATGCGGCAAGGAGGACATTTGGGACAAGACAACGTCATGTCGGCGCTCAAACGGTGCGAAGAAGCCTTGCTGCTTTCAACATCCGGTGTCGTCGCCGGTCCCATGTTCCAACGTTATTGCATTGCCACAGACTTACCAGGCAGCGATGGGCAGCTCATGGGGCCAATCTTGGCAACAAGCCATGGCGAGATGTCATGTTTGCAGATGAAGAAGAGGAAAACATATCATAGAAAGACTGTCGTCAGTCTGACTTGGTACATTTGTACATATTATATAAAGTCCTGTATAATGATGAGGACTTTACTTACAATCCAGTTGGCCCACGGGAAGAACGCGCCCAGGATGAACAAGCCGAGCATCGGTCCAGTTGCTGCACCCGTGAAGCTGAGACACACCTGGTAACATCACAACATGTGAATCTGAGACACGCCTGGTAACATCACAACATGTGAAGCTAAGACACACCTGGTCACATCACAACATGTGAATCTGAGACACACCTGGTAACATCACAACATGTGAAGCTGAGATACACCTGGTAACATCATAACACGTGAATCTGAGAGACACCTGGTAACATCATAACATGTGAAGCTGAGACACACCTGGTAACATCACAACATGTGAATCTGAGCGACACATGGTAACATCACAACATGTGAAGCTGAGACACGCCTGGTAACATCACAACATGTGAAGCTAAGACACACCTGGTAACATCACAATGAAACTGAGAGACACATGGTAACATCACAACATGTGAAGCTGAGACACGCCTGGTAACATCACAGCATGTGAAGCTAAGACACACCTGGTAGCATCACAATGACACTGGGAGACACATGGTAACATCACAACATGTGAAGCTGAGACGCGCCTGGCAACATCACAATATGTGAAGCTGAGACACGCCTGGTAACATCACAACATGTGAAGCTGAGACACACCTGGTAACATCACAATGAAGCATGAAAGACACATGGTTAACATCACAATATGTGAAGCTGAGACACACCTGGTAACATCACATGTAAAGCTAAGCCACGCCTGGTAACATTGATTATGTGAAGGTCTTCCTACAGTTTACCCCTATATTCACCCAAGATCTTACTACAGTTTACACCCTGTCCTCACCTGGGACCTAACTACAGTTTACCCCCTGTCCTCACCTGAGATCTTACTGTAGTTTACCCCCTGCCCTCACCTGAGATCTTCCTACAGTTTACCCCCTGCCCTCACCTGAGATCTTCCTACAGTTTACCCCCTGCCCTCACCTGAGATCTTCCTACAGTTTACACCCTGCCTCACCTGAGATCTTCCTACAGTTTACACCCTATCCTCACCTGAGATCTTACTACAGTTTACCCCCTGCCCTTACCTGAGATCTTACTACAGTTTACCCCCTGTCCTCACCTGCGATCGTCCCACGGTTTACCTTCTGATCTCACCTGTAAGATTGTCCCACCCAAGTGCATGGTCATAAAAGACACACCAATGTCCGCGGCACCGAAGAACAGCACTGTGAAGTAAAGCAAATGTTATATATTATGTCCCTGACTTATCAATTTGGATTGATTGGGAATATTCTCGGGAAAATTGTAAGTAAAATATGTCGTTCATACGCTTTAGTTTTGCAGTCATCTGACCAACCACTCGCCCAATACAAAAGTGGCATATCGTGTGAACCTTACATCAAATACCATTGTCAGTTTGTAAATATTTGAAGAAGAGTGTGAGGTCTAACATCTTACCAAGCAGCTTGGTGATGAGTGTCTCCTGAGCTTCTGTGAGTCTGTCTCCAAGGACTGGTTTGAAGAAATCCTCCCAACACACGGCAGACAGAGCATTGAGAGACGACGACATGGTGCTGAAATGATTCAATGGGAAGCATGACACACTCAACATACGACAGACAGAAAACTGAGACATAATGACATGGTGCTGAAGTGATTCAATTGGAAGCATGGCACTCTCAGAAGGTACCTTAGAACATGGACCAGACATGGACGTGATGGACCACACATGAAGTCAGCAACAACATACACTTTCCACGTGAGGGTTTGACTGGAATGAAGTGTCCGTACCTGAGTGCTCCGCGACAATGAACTAGTAGTAAGACATTAGGAGTTCAGTTCCCTCTGGCAGTGTTATTTCTGGCCAATTGAGGTCCCAGTGGCGGGTAAAAATGGAGGGTTTTTTAAGATAGAAAGAATAGATGAAGAGGGAAAATAGCACAATATTGTCCACGGGTAGCTTCAGTCCCCAAGGAGTCAGGCGAGACCCCTTTTTAGAGATCTACCCCTCCATAGAGGCTTCATTGGGATACGAACTCACAATGCAGACTTGTGCAGCTGTACATCAGACGACTGTTCTCTGCAGTAACTCCAGACTCAAGCCACCACGGCCCCGATGCTGAAATTCTTTTATATTCCTGCATCAATCAGCCAATCAGGTGGTACCTATATGTCATTGCAACAAACTTTGCCAGTCTAAAAATAAATTAGGTCAATCGGCTTGCCAATGTTTGTCATTCTTAGCCTCAAAAATAGCCAATTAACAGTGCGAATATTACACCCATGGGTGGTCTTACCAGCCCTGGGGACAACTAACTACTTTATGTCTGAAGTACACATTCCACAAGAGTGTAATTAGTATATTAAGAAACAAAGCGAGACGTGTATGTGTAATACATGATGCAATAAAGAGCTTAAATTTGCCATGTCACAGCAGGGTTTATAGTCGGATGGTAGAGTACTATATTTTAGAGTTTGAATCGTGCTTAGGGGCACATTTTCTTTTTCAAATACTACGTTTTAGCGATCAAATTGCGCTGAGAGACAAAACTGTATTTTACAAACGTATTCAAGTTTTACATTTTTTGTATATTTATATATTTGTTTTAATTATTTGATTTCAACCCTCATCTCCTAGTAAAACCGAAAACGTGAGGCATTTGTGTGACTAATGTCCCCGATAATAACTGTAAAAGTCAGTGACCTCACGATAGATGGGGTCTAACATAAACAGGTCCTGTACAGGTCAGGGTGGGCTTTATCTCGAGGTCATGATTGAGTAAATCATCCATGAGGTGTTGTACCCGTTCGGTACCCACCAAACCTAAGCTATTGTACAGGGTCGTGAATTGACCTCGTCTACTCACTTAGCGTAGAGCTGAATGAATATCTAGCCCCTTGACGTCCACCCCGACGTAATTGAACAAACGTTTCTCGAACAATCTCCGCATGATACATTTTCATTTACTATATTATATCTACTAGTGAGATGGGGGGTAAATACAGTGTCATAGGGGACGATGAGCAATTCCTCTGGCACGAATCCGTCGGTCCTTGAGGTGATATCCATTACTGTTGTACGTGTTGATGGACCACGTCGGGTCCGTGGCACATTGTTGACTTCCTCCCTTGAGTTCGCCAGCCTGGCATAAATGCATCACGCTGATCCGACCCGACAGTTTCTGCTCTTTTTTACCACTGTGACGTGGCTGAAGTCAAAAGTCACTATTTCATTTTGATGGCATCAGAGGGTTTCTTGTCTATGAGTCACATCACTTCATTGCTGATTGCCAACACCACTTGGGGTAAACGCGTCACTCATTCCGTTTATCGTTTCTTGGGCGTCACCATTTCATGTGCATACTGGTGTCCGAACAAGTGTTCAGCTAAGGTGCAAGTAAACCTCTTGACAAATGCTTGGCTATGATGCACTGGCACTGTGCCACGCCTGACCTCGACCTCGTGTTTGTCTAGCATAATGCCCCTGAACCTGCGTCCTGGGTCGACTTGCAATTCGACAAGCCACATCAAAGGCCTCCGTTTATAGATATGCTCCAGTGCATGGGCCACTTGAGTCAAATCTTTCTCGGTTAACGCCTCGACGTCTTTGTAGCAACAGGTAACATCCACGATGGTCAGGGCATATTTATACATTTTACGTTTCACCCAGTCGTGTGAGAAAAACAAGAGGTCAGCCTGATGCACTCGAATGGAGCCTGATGCACATCAAACGTTCTTCTTGGTATGTATCGGGGAGCCTGCAAGTAGATTTGCCATAGGGCTTGCTTCATTAAACAGCCGTTAGCCACGTCTTGGGAGACCTCTGCAGCTTCAGCAAGCTTGGGGATAGCACTTGTGCCTTTCCAGTTTCCCTGTGGGCTGTAGTATATCATCTATATGATTGTGTATTTAATGATATTTTCCCTTTAATACAATGGTGTCCAATACATGTCTTGAAACCATCCCCAGCAATCCATCTCTTCCAGACCAGGGCATGGTCTGGGCTATAATGGCTCATGTCGTATAAATCTATTTTTTTTCTGCCATATCCCGTTACACGTCCTCAGCATGAATTTCCATCAACAAGGAAATGGTGACAGTGAACACACTTCACACTGAGGGCTGCTAAATCATCATTTAATATCTTGTTTCTGTTAAAGGACAGGCTTGTTATTAAGTTTCTATATTTTTCTTCCTCACTGGATCTGACTAATTTCACATTGACACATCTCTTCTAATTCTCTATCTCATTTCTAATTCTCATGAGTTATTCATGAGTTTGTATAATATTTTTTCGAAGTTAGAGGTGGCCTGCTTTCTCAAATCCGTGCTCAGTCTGATGTTCGCTTCCATTCAGGGACTTTGATCAAATTTTAGAATTTGGTGCATTTTTATCCGGTTCATACAAAATGACAAATACAGCTGTAGATTTCCATAATTCCTTAATTTTTTTGTTCGGTACAGGTTTTTCTACGTTGCCGAGTTTAATTATTTTTCTACCAACTTCAGCTGATAGTTGGACATCATTTCTTGCTTCATCATGCAATAACATTTGTTCATGGAGTTCCACGGAATAGTCCAAGTCCACTTTGATGTAGCCCTTGGCATGGAATACTCTCAGATACATGACATAGTCCAAGTCCACTTCAGGTGATGTAGCCCTTGTTCTCAAGAAACACGTGGAATACTGCCATGTGAATGCCATAACAGATACATGACATAGTCTGTGAATAACACCAATTTCACATCAGTCTTTTTTAACAAGGCATCCCACGATCGGCCCGGGACGGAAAAATACCAGGCTGGGTCAAGATGATATTAAAACTAAACTTCAAACACATCTGCGAGTAGCAGCACATCCGTTTTCAAGTATAGATCAAGATAATCACCTCAATGTTTACAACCTAGGATATACCACACATGGATGGCGTGCTCGTAATCATCCTGTGATGTATTTGATTCGGTTAAGTGACTACGAATTGTGTTTCAGCAATTTCGAGACCAATCGTTGATGTATTCCTGAGCAAAATAAATGCCTTGAGACTCGGTCAGTATATGTATTGGTAATGTTAAAATGGTTTGTTGGCATTAACAATAATATCAAGAGATGAAAGTAGAAAGTGTGCACTGCACAGACTGCCCAACGAGAACGAGATGTATTTTTATATGTTATTGGGAATACATGTTAAGTTGCCATCAAGATAGTCTGCATGGTGAGGTGGGCATCGTAACTGTGTAGATTGTGCAACACCACAGGGATGAGTATGTTTTTTGGAATATATTCTAAGCTTCAAGTTACACATGTTGTGGGCGGCACCTCTGTAATTACTCGTGACGCGACAATGATCTCTCATGGTTTATAATCTAGATGTAACGGAGCCCATTATAATCTCACATGTTTATAATATACTAATCAAAGATTGCTGTTGAACTAATTGAAGGTTATTTCCTACCCTATTGTATAGTCCAGATGGGATAGTAGCCGGCCATGGATGAAGTCGCTAACATATTGAAAACCGTGGACAGCTTTCACTTGTGACAAGTCAGCAACATCACAAAGCATCTCGAAGACTGACTGACTGACTGAGTTTAGTTTTACGACGCTTTTAGTAATATTCCAGCAATATCACGGCGGGGGGACACCAGAAATGGGCTTAACACATTGTGCCCATGTGGGGAATCGAACCCGGGTCTTCGGCGTGACAAGCCAACGCTTTAACCACTAGGCTACCCCATCGCCCGCATCTCGAAGAAGAGCAGGATATACGAATCAGATTGTACCATAGAGCCATTAATGCTATCGACGGAGTGGACATGGCATGGTGCTTGGTGTGGCAGGTGCCGGTTTATTGGCCACACTAGTTGACGCAGCAATCATGATCTCCATAGAGCCTCAGGGTTAACTGGAATAGCTGTGAAATTTATTTCGCATTGGCTGCAACGTAAAGCATTGAAATACAACAGTTTTCGCATTCTGGATGGAATGAAGTTGAATACAGTCGAGGATCACGTCTCGACAACCACGGCCTACAGTAAGAACTCCGAAGAAGAGTTTTGTTTGATGTCGTTGGAACTCTCCAAATACCACAGTCAATATGAAACAAGAGATTTGAACCAAGACTCGCAAAACCATGGACATCAGCAAAGGAGAGAACAAAAGTTCATAGAACAGGGGAAACAACAGTCCCTTCAATCAGTGTTATCAAAACTAAAGACATCATAAAAGATTAGTGCTGAAAAAAGATCTTGAAAAATGAGGGACATTGAACGATAGTCCCCATCTAACGCCGCCATTTTTTACACACTGCTGGGAGCTCAATTGGCCTGAAATAACACTTCCAGGGGGAAGCGAGCCAGAACACCTACTGCCTTACTACTGAATTGTTTCCCGAGGCCAAGGGTTCCACCAGAATGAAGTCTCCACCTGAGTGCTCCACGACAATGAACAGTTTTTACGCGAGGGTTCCACTAGAATGAACAGTCTCTACCCGAGTGCTCCATGACAATGAACATTACCTACCTGAGTGCTCCACTGAAGAGACACGAGATGAACAGTCCCGGGAGACCGGGATAACCAAGCACCTCCATCACGAAGTGAGGCATCAGCTGGAATAAAGAGAGTGAATGAGATCTGCATCATGGCGTGGTTAGCAATATTACTGCAATATTAGAGTGGGGCACCAGAAATGGGCCTTCCATCATTCTCCCGATCTGACCTTGACCATCAGTCTGACCATTGAATACTGGATCTGTCTGGTTACACCAGTTCTCAAGAGTAAAAAAACAGAGCGGGCTTCTACACTTACTCATTTATAATAATAGAAATGTCAATTGTGTCAGAGCTTTTAGTGGCACAAGTGGGGGAGTTCCAAAGCACATGTGCAGTGTTGGAAAACGAGCAGGATCCAAAGGATTTCAGTTTGTAGGATGGTATGACCACGTAGATTTTGTGAGTTTGAGCGCAATTTGCATGCGGGTATATACAGATGTTGAGCCCTAAAAAGGAGGAGGGATCCAAACCATGGAGGAACTACGTCAGACAGAGGATCTTGAAGTCGATTCTAATCTAATCAGTAGCCAGTGCAATCCTTTCAACACGGGTCTTATATGGGAATCCTTAGCAGTCTCTCTGCTGATGCGGCATATTTTCAGAGGCATGTAAACAGGTGAAAACAAATGATAGACAAACAACTAGACTTGAAGGCCTCACTTGGTTCGGGTTGCTGATTTTGGTATCTGACAAGGGATCACATCCTTTCTGGGCGTAGTAGGCGAACATGATGATCCCTGCCAGGCACACAGAGGTCATCAACAGAATCACCCCGACAATGTTTAGAATCACCGACCTGAAATAGCAACATCCCACAGTTACCTCAACTAACCACATTGAATTAAACAGACCATTTCAAATGACAAAAAGAGGTTAAAGTGGAAAACAGTGTTTAGGAAACAGTTATTTTATACAAATATTTGAAAAGATGCTGCACTCAGCTGGTTTGCGGCTATATGGCGGCGGGCAGTAAACATCTGACACTTGATCAAAGAGTCCAGTGATTAATAGGATGAGCATCTGTCTCCACACCTGAGATACGATGACGTGTATCAACACAGGTATGGGCTGCTGAAGACCAATTCTAACCCAGATCTTTACAAGTATAGATAAGCACGGGTTCTAAAGAGTAATTCCAACCCGGATCTTCACGGGTCCATAGATTACATGTATGTGAAAGTCAGTGCAATAACATTCAGGTAAAAAAGCGGCCACCCCAATGGACACCATCTCTGCATCTTCTTGGGGATCATTTTCGTGATGCAGATGACTCAGAATGTAACTTACAGCCTGGCCTGTCGCAGCGTGGGCAGCGCGCAGTACCGCTGGACAGTGGCCTGGCTCAGTCCGTATGTGTGGGACCAGGCTATGGCTGTTCCGATGACCAGTGACCAGAAAGACTGGCGCACGGTAGGGTCGGGATTGAAGCTGAAACAGGAGCATTGTGGCAGAAATAGCGCTTTCCTAGCAGTGCCGATATTTTCAGTGAAGACCAGTGACTCGTTCAAATGTCTGCATAGTTATGACTGGAAACACCATGCCATGTAACTAACGATGAGACCCTCAGGGAGACAGAGACATACACACAGGCAGACACATCGACGGACAGACGGAAAACCACACACACGGAGAGACACACATAGACACACAAACACACACTTACAGAGACACAATAACTGATACACACACACACAGACACACATTGGCAAAGGCACACACAAGCAGACAAACAGACAAACACAAACAATTACAGAGGCACAGGCAGACAGACACACATATGCAGACCGAAAGACATCCCCACCCCCTCCGCACACACGCACGCACGCACACACACACACAAATACACACACACACATGAATCCCTGGAAAGTTTCAACAAGTAGGTTCTATACTTACTCAAAGAACTGAATCCTACCCCACTCTTCGTTGATTCTCCACACTTCACTTAACCCGCCGACAGCATACGTTCCCTGCAATATGAAGGACGTCCACAATGCATCAAACCTCGTCACGTTTGTACGCGCTCTATATATAACATTTGTACCCACTCTAAATGTAACATTTGTACCCACCCTAAATGTCACATTTGTACTCACTCTAAATGTAACATTTGTACCCACTCTAAATGTCACATTTGTACCCAGTCTAAATGTAACATTTGAACCCACTCTAAATGTAACATTTGTACTCAGTCTAAATGTAACATTTGTACCCACTCTAAATGTAACATTTGTACCCAGTCTAAATGTAACATTTGTACCCACTCTAAATGTAACATTTGTACTCAGTCTAAATGTAACATTGGTACTCACTCTAAATGTAACATTTGTACCCACTCTAAATGTCACATTTGTACCCAGTCTAAATGTAACATTTGAACCCACTCTAAATGTAACATTTGTACTCAGTCTAAATGTAACATTTGTACCCACTCTAAATGTAACATTTGTACCCACTAAATGTAAATTGGTACCACTCTAAATGTAACATTTGTACCCACTCTAAATGTAACATTTGTACTCAGTCTAAATGTAACAGTTGTACCCACTCTAAAAGTAACATTTGTACCCACTCTAAATGTAACATTTGTACCCGCTCTAAATGTAACATTTGTCCCCGCTCTAAATGTAACATTTGTACACACTCTGAATGTAACATTTATACACCTTCTAAATGTAACATTTGTACACACTCTAAATGTAACATTTGTACCCATTCTAAATGTAACACGTGTACCCAGTCTAAATGTAACATTTGTACCCACTCTAAATGTAACATTTGTACACCCTCTAAATGTAACATTTGTACACCCTCTAAATGTAACATTTGTACCCACTCTAAATGTAACATTTGTACACCCTCTAAATGTAACATTTGTACACACTGTAAATGTAACATTTGTACACACTCTAAATGTAACATTTGTACTTAGTCTAAATGTAACATTTGTTCCCACTCTTGATGTAACAGTAGTATGCACAATGGGTTTGTGTCTCACTACTATGGGTTATTTTTATTAATTAAGGTCTGAGCTGTGTCAAAGGATCTTCGCCTTGATTGTTATCTATCATGCTTATCTGATCGAGATGAATGCTCAGCTCTCAGTAGCGAAAGAGATCCAGTAATTTCAATCCGGTCATGGTTGAGAGCGATGGTAGTTCATTTCCAATCAACCCGAGTGTTCTCACTAAGTTACAAGCAATCATTTCCGCTGGTTAAAGTAAGTGTTCCGCTTGTTTAGTTGAGACTGGCTCTACTGGTTTTGAAAATTGCGTCGTTATAAGTGCGGCTGATCTCACGCAAATAATGATTTTGGTCAATGCAAGTGGCTCCCGTTTCTGAGCTCAGTTTGTCGATCTATTTCAACATTATAGATTGTTCGTCACGAGTGTGAAAGCGCTAAATGCTTGGTTTTCAACTGAAAAGATTTTTCAAACCGGTTAGGTTTAATTCATGTCTGAGAAATTTGGAACCTTTTCGATTGGCCAGCATCGACAAGCCGAGTTGTTTTTTTTCATGCGGACTTTCACGAGATTGACATCCGAAGCAGTTTTCAGTTGTAGTGTCCCTCTATCGTTGATTTCGAACTTGGAATGGTCGTGAAATGTAATAGTTATAATCCTTCATGGTGGTCTTTAAAAGTCTTTGGCATTGAGCCAAGTGAAGTGGTCATCTCGCAAGTCTTCCATCCGAACATTTTTTGGCCATTATTATATCTTAAACAATACAATACAATGTCGCAATACACACAAAACCTACATCCTTTCCAAAGACTGAGGGAGCCCCTGGGAGTTAAAGCCATTGATTGCATGATTGATCAAAGCCAAACGCTGTTGGTCCGCTTTCCCCATCTTGGCACGAATGACGTCATCGTCCCAACATGGGACAAAATGACAAAAACCATTGGTCGGCCATGATGCAACTGTACACCGGCCTGGTATCTCCTTCCAATCTTGCCGGAAAATCGACCGTACCGGTCCTGCCTTTAGTACTGTAAGTTGCAAGCCGTATCACTGATACGGCATGTTTTTGGTTCCCATGACATTGTCAATGTAAAGAAAAATATTCGCCAAACGATATACGAGATGATGGATCTTGCCCACGAACAACAAACAATGAACCCGGATGTTGCACAGACAAGCACTAAAAAGACGACCAATTCAACAGTGGTTAGGGTAACGAAGAAAGCAAAAATATACAAAAAAAGTACCCTCCGGTAGAAAAGGCGGTTTAGCTTGATGGACAAAAAAAACTCGAAAAACATGGATCCTGTACATTGCATCCGCATATACGAGACGGCCGCTGCTATGTTATATATGAAACTAGGCTCACCCTGCCCACCCCCGCCACAGCCGCCGAAACAATTAGAGGTAAATCCACACATTATGTTATAAAATATTAGTTTATATTATATATAGAATCATGTCTACTCCTACAGACGGAAAACATTCGTCAACGATGTGTATCACTCTGCTGTGGTCAGCGGTCTAGCAATCGGCTACTCACGATTGAGCAAAATGATCACCAAACGACCAACTCTCAACTTGATTTCCCAAACTCGACATGGGCATACTCATCCTAGATATGGGACTTGCGATGGCCACAAAAGATATGCTCATCAAGCAAGGCATCATTCCAGCAAACACATTAAAGTAAAATTATCGTGTATTACATATGGACGGCATTGCCTTGATGGTCGGTGGGGATTTATTCAAGGCCCTCCCATTTTCGGGTAGCAATTATCTTTTTTCTTACTTACAATCAAGGAATACGGAACAAAAATTAACACGACATAGCCGTGGAGAAACTGCAGGCCGCACAAGCTGAATATGTGAGAAAACACATGCAGAGAATAATTTTATTCATGACCAACTTGAGTGAGAAGGTCACGCCGTGCAAAAGAGGTCAATGAGGCCATGCACGAGTATTATCTCATCACGGGAGAACAATTGGAACCACCTGGTGGTATGCCAACAATCTCACAGTATTACCCAGCCTCCCAGGGTCAGAAAGACCACGAGTTGACTTTCGTGGCGTTGGGTCTGGCAGTGTGTTTTTTATGCGTATATATATACGTTGAGGCCTGCTCCATATCATTGTAAATTCATGCTTCTGATAGAAGCCGTGACCTGCGGCAAGAAATGCACAATCAAGTACTGTAGCATACACTTGACATCGATAAGGGAAGGTAACACCAATTAGACATTTATTCACTCGAAGGTATAACAACCTATTAGATAATTGCCCACTTCAAGAGAGCAACAATGGCTACAGTCAGAGAACTCAAAGCGATAGTTTTTGTTATTCTCAAATGAGAAAGGCCGAATTGCTTAGGTTGCTGGACATTAAATATGTCAGACCTTTACTGGTGAAACAGCTCAAAGTTCAAACTCGGAACATGGGCTGACTGGTTATTCCAGAATGAGGAAAGCCCAACTGTTAATGTTGCAGGAGGCAGCAAACCGGTAGAGTTGAGATTTGTACCTACAGAGCACACCACTGGTAAGCATCTGTGAGGCTGGAGGATGGCGGTCCATACTAATATTGATAAACCTCTGATCGCCAGCAAGATCAACGAGTAGGAGGACGATTGGAAAAGCATCAAATACCAGTTAGTCAACAAAATGTTGCTTGACCAACAACAGGTGGACGGCAACACCGAGCACGTGGAGCCCTACTTCAGAGGCAAACAGGAGGTCATAACCCAACCAGACTTGATCGATTCAACCATCGATACATCGTTACCAAAAATATAGCAATCTCTGGAATGATGGATGCACAGGGGTTCCAGTAGGGTTGTGGGGAGTATCTATACCGTCTATTTAGACATAGCTAACTACATGCCGCTAAAAGGGGGATCGTACATCGAATTGACACCCTATTACAAGAAGGAAAAAGTCATGACTAAGGTCAAAAATAAAGACGATGATTGTCTGAGGTGGTCGCTAAGATCTATCTTATTCTCACTAAACGTTAATTCAGAGAGACCTTCGAGCTATCCCTCAGATCACGGTCTTAACTGGTATAGTCAAACCAACCTCATCTCTCAAATCGCTAAAGTGGAAAAACAAAACAATTTGGCCATCAACGTGTTCGAACACAAAGGTAATAAAACAATCGTGCATAGAATCAGCACCATCGAAAATTTAAATCAAAGTCTTTGGATGTAACCTTACATAAGGGCAAACACAGATTTAAGGAAATGGGCCACCGGTGATTTTGAAAAGAATCTATTTAAGCTCATGAACAACTTGGTATTTGGTAAAACGATGGAGAATTTAAAGAAGCACGTGAACGTCAAGTTAGCCAGATCTCACGAGGCTAAGAGCGAGCTCGGTCTTCAACAGAAGTAAGATATTCGACAACGATTTTGGCTTTGCACATGGCCAAGAATCATATCAAATTCAACAGACCCATCTACGTCAGTACGAGCATTCTCGACTGCTCATCCTTGATATTCTCCAGGGTATACGTTTTGATAAATCTCCACTATACTCTGGATGCATCTACAGCTTGGCCCGATGATTTTATTACTTCACTTGGTTGGCTTTTTATCCAATCAGGTGTCAACGCTGGGAAGTTGAGCATACCAATCACAACTCATTTTCGATTTTTAAATTATCTAACCGATTAAACTTAGCAACAAAATAATATATTGCAGAGGTACTCTGAAAGAGGGAGAAGGAGTTCTTGCACAGATTTCTTTAAGGTTTCAGACCTCTCAATTTCTCTCAATTTCCCCCTAAACCTGAGTCGCACTGCGAACAAACTTTCGCGGCTGAGACCACTATCTTTGTTGACACTGGCAAGCTCGGTTGTAACGGTGGCTTATGTGATTGGCTACTGTGAGAATGCGAAGCCAGCAAAGGGAGGTAATAAAATCACTGGGCCGAGCCATAGATGCATCCAGATATAGTGGAGATCTATCGGAACGTATACCCTGGAGAATATCGAGGATGCTGCTAGCTAAGCACAAGGTCATTGTCAGGCACAGAACAGCGGGAGAGCATCGCAGTCAAGCTATTGTCAAGAGTTTTAATCAAACATATTAGCTGAACGTTTATTTGGGTTTCAGTACGGACGAGAGATGGTAAAACCCGAGAAACGACTGACTGAATGGGTGTCACATTTACCCAGATTTGTGTCAGTGATGAAGAATGAAGTGACTACATTAACCGGCAAGAAATCCGCAGAGGCCATTAAAATGAAATTGGTGACAGCCGAATCAGCTGCACCACCAAGACAAATAAAGGAGAAATAAATGTCAGACCGGGTCGTCGTGAGGTATTTTTCCAGGCCAGAGACTACCACAGAGATAGTCGACACTGTGCAACCGACCCTGTATGGTCCATGAAAAAGGTAAAACATTGATCAAAAGAGTCAACCCCATTTGAATTATCTGAAAGACAGGCCTTGCTTATCCTTCTCCCCGACATGGTGTTACCCGAAACAAACTCCAGGTAAATCCAATAAAATCCAAGATACAAGGATCTTTACCGAAATCTCGCAGAAATGTTCATATCGATCTTTCCAAAAGAGGCAGTCTTCATCAAAGAGGTTCTCTAAGGTCATCAAAATAGCCACCAACAGAGAATTGCTTTGGCACTTCGAGTGGAGAAGTCGCTCCCTGGTGTGTAGGATGTAATTTGTTTTTCCAGTAAACGCATTGCTTGCCGTGAACACAATGGTCTATGGCACAGTACTTGCAAGTCAAGTTGTCATGCTCAAAGAGGATGGGGGCTGGTGGTAGAGCAGCAAGGAAGTCTGTGTATCAATGGTGCCTGTCTTTGGTTTCCAAACTATCAGCGAGAACGATTCGGAGTTTGCCCACTGCAGGTCGAAATTGATTTGGTGAATAGGAGGGGACCACATCGACTCTTTGACCGTTTTTGATGGTTTTGAAGGCACATCAAATAGAGCTCAAGCAAAAATGTCGACGGATGTGGTAAAAGGTGTGTCCTAAACGCTTCGAGGATTGTTTGTCTTTGTCGGAAAGGAAGCAATGGGGACACTTCTCTAGCAAGGTCTCGAAAACCTCTCTGGTCGGAAGTTGTCTAATTTCTCTTGTTGATTCATTTTTTTGATTTTGATTCGAAATTTTACTTTCGTTATACTTTTGTCATACCATATCTCCAATAGGTTTATCAAAATTGTCAAAGATTTATAAGGACCATCGAACGATGATTCTCCTCCGATAGCATTTATTTTTCACCACAGCTCAGACCTTAATTAATAAAGATAATGCCATCATAGGGATGTCAGCCAGAACCCCTATCGTGTATACTACTGTAACATTTGTATGTAATCTAAATGTAACATTTGTATACGCTCTAAATGTAACATTCGTACCCACTCTAAATGTAATATTTTTTTTTATTCATCCGACTGTTATTACTTATGACCTTTTCAGAAGGATAATGTTTCACATGAGGTTACTTATTAAATACATCATAATCACTGGAACAATATCCCTGACTGACCCTGATGATTATGGCCAGTACTCCAGCAAGCATCACGACGCCCTGAAACACGTTTGCCCATACAACTGCTTTCATTCCTCCCTGAAATGAAAAAGTTGTTTCAACATTGGCAGCTGATCACAACCTGGATCATGATTCACTTTCTGCCAACTGAGAACCATTCAGAGTAATTTCGTATTGTCAGCTGTGTGGGGTCTCAAGGAGTGTCACCCACAGGGCAAGACACGCACTCCGATTTCATGAGCACCTGCATCAATCACTAACTCACAAACGTACCTTTATAAAACAGCCTATCTATTAAACCTGACAACCTACCAGATATGTGTAGAAGGTGGACATGTGCTCACAGTGTGATCCACTTACAAGATGCGTGTAGAAGGTGGCTACGAGACCGATCGTAATTATCGTGGCCCATGTCGGAAACCCGGTCACTGTTTGAAACATGAATAGAAAAATAGCAGATAATGCATACAATGTTAATAATAATAATAATTATATATAGAGATTTATATAGCGCCAATATCCAGATACAGTACAACCAGAAATTATTGAGAATTTAAAGATTGTAATTTATTTTCTTTCACTCATTACTCACGTATTAAATGTGAATACTAGCAGAACATAACTCCAGATTCAAAGACAGGTAAACAGTTAGTATTTTGTCAAGTCACCATGGGCAGCAATGCAGGCTTCAATGCGGCGGCGCATACTACTGATCGAAGAAGTTAGAAAGTCGTGGTCCATGCTGTCCCAATATCTGACCACCTCTTCTTTCAGCATTTCAGCAATATTTGTCAGATTTTTCTTATTGGCACTTTCCTTCATAAGTCCCCAAACATTTTCTATTGGATTTAGGTCAGGGCTATAGCTTGGCCAATCTAATAATGTCATATTTTGGGTCCGAAACCAGACCTGTGAATGCTTTGAACGATGTTTTGGGTCGTTGTCCTACTGGAAAATCCAAACATTTCCATAGAACACGTGAGCAGATGGAAGTAAATGATCCTCGAGAATATCTGTGTACCGCTCACTGTTCATATTCCCTTCAAATACATAGAGGGGAGTTGCCCCTAACACAGATATGCCACCCCACACGTTAAATTTCGGACTGTACTGTGGGCGCTGATACAACGGTTTTTCAGTTTGTTTGCTCAAGAATTTCAGCGTATTAGGAAACAGCCACACAGAACTTTCATCTGAGAAAATCACATCGTCCCAGTTAAAATTTCTATGCTGTAAGCACCAGCTGAACCTTTGCTCATTTTGTTCAGGTTTCATGTCGGTGATGGAATTCCTCGACTTTTCTGCCAACCCATTGCATGCAGCTCAGTTCTAATTGTCTCCTTACAGACATCCACAGTTACTCTATCAATCATATACTGCCTTAAGTTTTCTAAACGCCTTCGTTTGTTTTTAGAAACAATAATACAAAGCCGCCTCTTGTCATCGACAGTCAATTTTTTGGGCCTACCTGCGCCTCCCTGGTGCTCAATGCCATATCCATTTGCAATATTTTGCAAAACACGGTAAACAGTGGACAAAGGGATGCCTGTTCTACTTGAAACCACTTTAGCTGATCTGATGTCCTTGTTATAATACTCTAAAATCAACTTCCTCTTCTCTAAATCATCCATACTGAGGATCACTGAAAATGTCGTCTGCTAACAAGTAAACAAAGGGGGATAACTCTTCACAAAGTTATGAAAAAGGATTAACGGAGTTGTCTCTCTTGAATGAACCCAAGCACTTGATAGCTGGTCAAGGTTATTTATACTAGAAATCCAATTAAACATATTCCTAAAATTCTCAATAATTTCAGGTCATACTATATGTCCTACTCAAAGGCGCTTTCGTTAGAGTCTGACAAGGAAAGAGTCACTCGGAATTGTTTTCAACATTCTCTTACATGTACAGATTTCCTCTGCAATTTTAATGCCCAATGGGATGTTGTTCCAAAGCATAGGACCTGCTTTTGAAAAACATCTGTCTCCAAATGTCTTCGTCCTCGTACGTGGCACAACTTGTAACTGGGCACTACTAGAACGTAGGGAACGTGGGTTGATCGCACTGGATCAGTTCGTTGATGTACGATAGGCCGATACCGTGAAAAGCTTTGTATACAAGCACAAGAATTTTAAGTTCTATCCGTATATGAGTTATGTGCTCATATTCGCCTGTAAGGGAGATAACTCCAGCAGCTATATTTTGTACCCGCTGTAACTGTGCAATTCGGTGTTTTGGTAACCCAACCAAGAGAGCATTGCAATAACCACACGTGTATTTATATACTTCCTTATTAGAGCAATATTCCTGATATGGCAGTATGCTTGTTTGCAGATTTCACTGATATGGTCTTCAAGTGAAAAAAAAACAGATTGCGAGCCTCTTTACTTGGTTCTATGATACTGTCACCAATTTTGAAAGCCGACTGTGAGAGATGTCGCAAATTTGGTTTTTTACTGAAAATGAGAATCTCTGTTTTGTCATCTTTAAGCTTCAAAAAGTTGATAGTCATCCATTCACGGATATCAGAAACACATTAAGATATCACAGCAAAGGAGAATTCAACTGATTGTTTACTTTGTGGTCTAAAAGATATGTACAATTGGGTGTCATCTATACAGATGGAATTGCAGATTATATTTTCGTATGACATCCGCAAGAGGTGAAGTGTACATTGTGAACAGGATCGGACAAAGGACTGATCCCTGTGGAACTTATTGCCTATGACTTTTTCCGCTTTTAAATGACAATGTAATGAATATATGTATGTACTTACGGGTATGTACTTACAATGTTTATTATTGCAAACTTGTTCTCGTCACTATATGGCTGGAATAATGCCGATGTGACGCAAAACCCAACTCAACTCAACTCAACCTGTGGAACTCCGAAGAGCAGTTCTTCTTTCTTTCATGTTGTGCCATCAATGTCAACGGATTGGTGCCGTCCACAGATATATAGATTTATAGATATTGACTTTTGTGAATATCAGTTTATACATTACATGTATTACATAATGTACATCATGAAGACGGCATCTGACCAACAGGTGTATGGAGAACATATCGTTTATAACTACACAGCCACGAATAGTGCCCTCACGTTGCTTTGTAATGTTCATTCAAAAGAGGGTATGATGGTGAAATAATGAAGAGCTGCAATTACAAGCCTACCTGCTTCTAGAGCCGTCGACGGAGCAACCGACACCACGCCCATATAGATCACCTGGGATAAAACATGTCTACAAGTACAACATACACAGACCTACGTCCCTAAAAGGACACGGTACATACAGCCACGTGTCTACAAGTACAACATACACAGACCTAGGTCCCTACAAGGACACGGTACATACAGCCACGTATCTACAAGTACAACATACACAGACCTAGGTCCCTACAAGGACACGGTACATACAGCCACGTGTCTACAAGTACAACGTACATACAGCCACGTGTCTACAAGTACAACATACACAGACCTAGGTCCCTACAAGGACACGATACATACAGCCACGTGTCTACAAGTACAACGTACATAGAGCCACGTGTCTACAAGTATAACATACACAGACTTAGGTCCCTACAAGGACACGGTACATACAGCCACGTGTCTACAAGTACAACGTACACAGAGCCACGTGTCTTCAAGTACAACGTACATAGAGCCACGTGTCTACAAGTACAACGTACATAGAGCCACGTGTCTACAAGTACAACGGACATAGAGCCACGTGTCTACAAGTACAACGTACACAGAGCCACGTGTCTACAAGTACAACGTATATACAGACACGTGTCTACAAGTACAACGTACATATAGAGCCATGTGTCTACAAGTACAAAGTACATAGAGCCACGTGTCTACAAGTACAATGTACACAGAGCCATGTGTCTACAAGTACAACATACATAGAGCCACGTGTCTACAAGTAGAACGTACACAGAGCCACGTGTCTACAAGTACGACGTACACAGGGCCACGTGTCTACAAGAACAACGTATATAGAGCAACGTGTCAGCAAGTACAACGTACATAGAGTCATGTGTCTAAAAGTACAACGTACACAGAGCCACGCGTCTATAAGTACAACGTACAATTAGAGTCATGTGTCTACAAGTACAACGTACTCAGAGTCACGTGTCAACAAGTGCAACGTACATAGAGCCACTCGTCTACAAGTACAACGGACATAGAGTCACGTGTCTACAAGTACAACGTACATAGAGGCTCGTGTCTACAAGTACAACGTACATAGAGGCTCGTGTCTAAAGTACAACGTACATAGAGCCATGCGTCTACAAGTACAACGTACATAGAGTCACGTGTCTACACGTACAACACACACAGAGCCACGCGTCTACAAGTACAAAATACATAGAGTCACGTGTCTACAAGTACAACATACACAGAGCCACGAGTCTACAAGTACACCGTACACAGAGCCACGTGTCTGAAAGTACAACATACACCGAGCCACGCTTCTGCAAGTACAACATACACAGAGCCACGCGTCTACAAGTACAACATACACAGAGCCACTTGTCTGAAAGTACAATGTACATATAGCCAAGTCACCAGATTAGGAATAATTAGTTTAGCAGACTCGCTTTCCTAATGAAGTTCAAACCCCACACTCTATATTTACCAGGTCCCTCCTTGTTGGTCTCAGAAAGAACAACATGCCTTCCATTGACTAAGATACTTGTGTTAAATTAAACCGTTCACTAAATGCATACATGACAGTCAAAATCACAAAAAAATGTATTTCAAATTTCTGTCTCTTCCGACTCTTCCGGTTGTCATGTTGTTTACATTACCTACTTGCTGACAATCATGATGCTGTTTACAGTACCTTCTTTTATTGCAATCATCATACTGTTTACAATCCTTACTTGCTGACAACCGCCATGCTGTTTACATTACCAACTTGCTGACAATCATCATGCACTTTACAGTACTTACTTGGTGACAATCATCAGTTTGTTTACAGTACCTACTTGTTTGACAATCATCATGCTGTTTACAGTACCTACTTTTATGACAATCACCATGGTGTTTACAGTACCTACTTGTTTGACAATCATCAGTCTGTTTACAGTACCTACTTGTTTGACAATCATCATGCTGTTAACAGTACCTACTTGTTTGACAATCATCATGCTGTTTACAGTACCTACTTGTTTGACAATCATCATGCTGTTTACAGTACCTACTTGTTTGACAATCACCATGGTGTTTACAGTACCTACTTGTTGGACAATCATCAGTCTGTTTACAGTACCTACTTGTTTGACAATCATCATGCTGTTCACGGTACCTACTTGTTTGACAATCATCATGCTGTTTACACTACCTACTTGTTGGACAATCATCAGTCTGTTTACAGTACCTACTTGTTGGACAATCATCATGCTGTTTACAGTACCTACTTGTTGGACAATCACCATGGTGTTTACAGTACCTACTTGTATGACAATCATCATGCCATGGTGTTTACACTACCTACTTGTATGACAATCATATGCTGACTACTTGTATGATCATCAGTCTGTTTACAGTACCTACTTGTTTGACAATCATCATGCTGTTTACAGTACCTACTTGTTAGACAATCACCATGGTGTTTACAGTACCTACTTGTATGACAATCATCATGCTGTTTACACTACCTACTTGTATGACAATCATCAGTCTGTTTACTGTACCTACTTGTTTGACAATCATCATGCTGTTTACAGTACCTACTTGTTAGACAATCACCATGGTGTTTACAGTACCTACTTGTATGACAATCATCATGCTGTTTACACTACCTACTTGTATGACAATCACCATGCTGTTTACAGTACCTATTTGTATGACAATCACCATGCTGTTTACACTACCTACTTTTATGACAATCACCATGCTGTTTACAGTACTTACTTGTTGGACAATCATTATGCTGGTCCCAGTGAGCCTGGCAGCGCGGGAGTTGAACCGTTTCTCGAGATACTAAAGCGATGAAACCTCGATATAATAATGATATAATTAGGTTTCGGTTAACGTTGGCAATCGCCATGTTCTTGTTTCATGACAGGTGTAATTATACAACTGAAAGAAAAACAGACAATCAGGTGATTGCTATTATGAACAACAATTAGCGGTTCTTCCTTCTTTGTAATCAGGGGCGGTGGGGTAGCCTAGTGGTTAAAGCGTTCGCTCGTCACGCCGAAAACCCGGGTTCGATTCCCCACGTGGGTACAATGTGTTAAGCCCATTTCTGGTGTCCCCCGCCGTGATATTGCTGGAATATTGCTAAAAGCGGCGTAAAACTAAACTCACTCACTCACTCTTTGTAATCAAACTCATCGTTGTAGTAAGCATTAGAACAATCGACCTAAAGGGATGTTCAGATAAAATTATTTGGTTCCGCTGCGTATTGCAATGACAAAATACAAGATTTTACGGTGGGGTACGCTCGTCATGCTGCGTTGTACTAAAGTCTGGGCTAGTACAAGCAGCCGCACATACACATACACACGCATGCACGTCTTCATATGAGCGAAATATTCTCAAGCACGACGTTAAACCCACTTTCACCTCACCTCTCGTTGTCACGCTGAAGACCAGGGTTCACATAGGTACGATGCGTGAAGCCCATTTCTGGTGTCCCCTGTAGTGATATTGCTGGAATATTGCTAAAAGCGGCGTAAAACCATACTCACTCACTCACTGCCCTACACAGCAAACAGCCAGCCTCATTCCTCCAACCAACTCCAGTGGCCGTATGCATATGTCGGGCGTAAAATCTAGTCCGGGCGTAAGTAAAATGTGCGCCCGGACGTAACGTAAACCGGTATGCACATATTAGACGTAGTTAAAGTTACGCCAGTCGTAGCGCTCTATATTTACGCCACCTACCCAGCAGGCGTAAGCCAGGCGTAGCCCTGTAGTGGCGGCACTGGATGCCGAGGTTTTTTCAGACGCACATTTTCAAAAGGTTTGAAAAGTGAACGTAGTGCGAGAATTGCGCTCTTGTGGTCCTGGATCTGCGTACGGCTATAAAAGTACACAGAAATGCAGAATATTTAATTTCCTATCCGTTGGTATAAATATAAGTGCGACTTCCTCGGCGGTTTTAGAAACAGACACTGCTACATGTTGTCCAAAATTTTGTTACGCGGTAAAAAACTGTCAATTTCTCAGCTTTTTGTCGTGCACCGATAAAAGCACTCTGCTACGATTTTTTTAATTTGGCATCTTTACAGAAAGTGTGAGCGAAGAAAATACAGCCTGATATCTGAACGACATAAGTGTATATGAATTGGGTGTATGTGCTAATGCATAACGTTACACGCTCAACATTAAAAATGACTTGCAATAAGTGTCAAAAATGGATTTTCTTCTATGACGTCAACCGACGACAGAGAGGTCATACACGTATAAAGATAAAGGGGCATAAATCCGCTATGCTTAACACTAGGTCAATGTAACTCAGATCACTTGGAGAAAAGTTGTTGTGGATACGGACGCTAAATTTTCGTTATGCTGTGTTCACGGTGAACCAACCTATTCCATTACAAAGTTCCCCAGTGTGAGCGGATCACAATGTTTCACAATCTATAAGAAAAGATGGCAATGAACTACTTGAGAAAGCAGAATAGCGATTTGGATGGCCCTATCCGATATGTAATTAAGTTAGTTCTTAGATTCCCATATTCTCCTGTTTGTGTAGATGTAGTTTGACTAATTTTGCATTTATATTAACGGAGTACTAGCCATATCTTCAAATGTACTGAAATTACTGATAATAATACAACATTTTAGTTGACGTCATGACTTGTTTTATGCATTTTGCGACGTCGGAAAAAGACGACATTGGTTTGCTGATTAGTATATATCTTACCTAAATTCCATTAATTGTATTAAAGGTCTCGGCTTCTATGTCATAATTAAACTCTCTTTAGTTAACATTACATGAATGATTTTACCAATTAAATAGTGTCCTGAATGTATCAACAATTGGACGGCTTGACTGCGTATCTTATTGTGAGCAACACGCGCACCTGTTTGGCACCAATTTAACGTAAATGAAAAATAATATTTCACAACGCCCAAATATTTTGCAGTTATGGCTATGTGTGATCTTCTAATACTTGTGTAAAGGTTTAACATATGGTGTACTACATTTGTCGCAGCTGAATATGATATATAGATTACGTGATGTAATTGGCGTCTCAATTCCGGCCTTCGCGAAACGTGATTTTGTGAACACTATAGATTCTGTGACGGAAAGCGCACTTCGGCGTTCGTGTAAGTGTATTTTCAGAATTATCATTAGTGATTTCATTAAAACCTGATATCAGTGATCATTAATATGCTATTTTTGAAATTCAATACTTCTGAATAGTAATTATCCGATTTGAACATTTCAAAACATACACCAAATAACGCTGTGAATCGTCATTTTGTAATGTGTCAAAAATGGTGACATGTATGATGAAGCCTATTTTGAAAGTGCATGTTATTTCTCCACCAGGATCCATCGGTAAAGTTGGGATTTCACGGTTTTCTTTGGCTTTCCATGATTACGGCTGAAAGGGATGTACCGCGAAGTTGTTTCGCGCCTTTTACCGGTGGTTTAAAAACGTTCGAAAATCTAAAAATAGAACACTGCGCCTCGACGTAAATCCGTTTAGTCGGGCGTAGTAACGCCTAGGCTTAACCGACGTTGTGCATGACGTGTAAGAGGAGGGCGCTGCTAAGCCCGACGTAGTGTGTTACGCCTGACGTTAGCTACGCCCGACATGTGCATACGGCCACTGGGAGGTACAGAGCTGCGGTCCACTGAGCACTAATGTGTGTTTGACGAATCATCTGTGTTGCAGCTTGTTCGGTACCGTGCATGACAGTCTCTCTCGCACTCATAACAGCCAGTTGACGTTGTCTCAAGGCCTGGCACTCGTGAACACAGGATGAGGAGGAGGAGGATGAGAGGAGAGAGGAGGAGGAGGAGGAGAGGAGGAGGAGAGGAGAGGAGGAGGAGGAGGAGGAGGAGGAGGAGGAGGAGGAGGAGGAGGAGGAGGAGAGGAGGAGGAGGAGGAGGAGGAGGAGGAGGAGGAGGAGGAGGAGGATGGAGGAGGAGGAGGAGGAGGAGGAGAGGAGGAGGAGGAGGAGGAGGAGAGAGGAGGAGGAGGAGGAGGAGGAGGAGGAGGAGGAGGAGAGGAGAGAGGAGGAGGAGGAGGAGGAGGAGGAGGAGGAGGAGGAGGAGGAGGAGGAGGAGGAGGGAGGAGGAGGAGGAGAGGAGAGGAGGAGGAGGAGGAGGAGGAGGAGGAGGAGGAGGAGGAGGAGGAGAGAGGAGGAGGAGAGAGAGGAGAGAGAGAGAGAGGAGAGGAGGAGAGGAGGAGGAGGAGAGGAGGAGGAGGAGGAGAGAGAGGAGGAGGAGGAGGAGAGAGGGAGGAGGAGGAGGAGGAGGAGGAGAGGAGAGAGGAGAGGAGGAGGAGGAGGAGGAGGAGGAGAGGAGGAGGAGAGAGGAGGAGGAGGAGGAGGAGAGAGAGAGGAGAGAGAGGAGGAGGAGGAGGAGGAGGAGAGAGGAGGAGGAGGAGAGAGGAGGAGGAGGAGGAGGAGGAGAGGAGGAGGAGGAGGAGGAGAGAGGAGGAGGAGGAGGAGGAGGAGGAGAGAGGAGGAGGAGGAGAGAGGAGGAGAGAGGAGAGAGAGAGAGAGAGGAGGAGAGGAGAGAGGAGGAGGAGGAGGAGGAGGAGGAGGAGGAGGAGGAGGAGGAGGAGGAGGAGAGGAGGAGGAGGAGGAGGAGGAGGAGAGGAGAGAGAGAGAGGAGGAGGAGGAGGAGGGAGGAGGAGGAGGAGGAGGAGGAGAGAGGAGAGAGGAGGAGGAGGAGGAGGAGGAGGAGGAGGAGGAGGAGGAGGAGGAGGAGGAGGAGGAGGAGGAGGAGGAGGAGGAGGAGGAGAGAGAGAGAGGAGGAGGAGGAGGAGGAGGAGGAGGGAGGAGGAGGAGAGGAGGAGGAGGAGGAGGAGGAGGAGGGAGGAGAGAGAGGAGAGAGGAGGAGGAGGAGGAGGAGGAGGAGAGAGGAGGAGGAGGAGGAGGAGGAGAGGAGGAGGAGAGGAGGAGGAGGAGGACACTTACTCACCACCACCAGTACCACAAACTACTACTAACCATTACAACCACTAAACCATTCCACACATCACACATCTCAGAGGATGACCACTACTAGACCCACACAAGACGATGACTACACGACTAGACGACACGACAGATGACGATGACTATGACAGACACACAGAGGACGAGGACACGAGGATGAGGACCAGGACGACATGATGGAGGACATGACATGACACGACACACACGACATGACATGATGATGACATACGAGACAGACAATTACACATGAAACACAGACAGACAGACAGGACACGAGAGACAGACAAACGAGGACACCTAGGACAGACAGACAGGACATAGAGACATGGAGGACAGACAGACAGACAGAGGAAGAGGAGGACAGATGGACAGACAAAGAGGACAGACGAGACAGACAGAGGAGGAGGAGCGACGAGGACAGACTACTAGATTAGGAGGAGAGACAGAGTACCACCAGGAGAGACGAGGAGAGAGTAGTACCACTAGAGGAGAGGAGTGGACGGAGGAGGACTACGGACCAAGGCCACCTCAATTAATTACTTACTTAGAGAGAGAGAGGAACTACTCTCAACATCCACACCACCACCATCTCACTACTACCACTACTTTTATTTCACCACTTTACCCACCTCATCACTACCACTCACTACCACCACCACTAACTATCACTACTACCAACACTACTACTACTACTTACTACTACAACTACTACTACTACCACTACTTCACATTTCACTCACAACCACTACTAAATTAATTCTCACTACTACTACTCTAATTACTCACTACAACTCACTACAATAACACTACTACAACAACTTTTCACTAATTACCACTACACCACTACTACTACTACTACTACAAACTGTCCCACTACTACTCCTACCACTACTAACCACTACTACTAACTATATTTTAACCAACTTACTTTACTACTAGTATTTTACACTTTACTTACCACTCAACACCACTTCACTTCACTTCACCTAACAACACTACAACTACTACACTTACCCTACCACTACACCACTACTACATTACTACTACTACTCTTTAGTACTCACTAGTACTCCTACTACCACTACTACTACTACAATACTACTACTACTACTACCACTCTTAACCTTACTCACCACTACTACTTCACTTCACTCACTACCACTACCACTCACCACTACTTCACTACTACTACTACTACTACTTTCACTCATCTCTACTACTACTACTACAACTACCACTCCACTACTACCACTCACTACTTACTAACTCACCACACTACCACTCACTACACTACCACTACTACTACTACTACTACCACTACTTCACTACTACTTCACCTTAACTTACTACTTCTACTTACTTCACCACTCACTACTAATCAATTCACCACTACTACTCACAACTACCACTACTTACCTACTACTACTTAACTGTTAATACTAATCCCTACTACTACTTACTACCACTACCACTACTTACTACTACCACCACTACTCACAAACTACCACCACTACTACTACCACTACTACTCAATTCTACTACTACTACTACAACTAGTACTCACTACCTAACCAGCACTACTACGCCATACCGCATGACTACTACTACTCACTACAACTACTACTACTACCACCACTACTACCACTACTACTACACCCCTACTACCTACTACCACTACTCACTACTACCACTCACTACCACTACTACCTACTGCGTGATTACTACCACTACTACTACCACTACCAACCACTACTACTACTACCACTGCGATTACTACCACCACTACTACTACTACAACTACTATTACACCACTAGTACTGCTACTACTGGCACCAAGTGACTACTATCACCACTCCTACTACAACTACTACTACTACTACCACTACTACTCACCACTGCGACTACTAGTACTACTACTACTACCAATTCTCCACTACTACTACTACGACTACTGCATCTATTTGTACTACTACTCACTACTTACTACTACTACAACTAGTACTACTACTACTATTACTAATACTAACACTACTAATACTACTACTACTACTACTACCATTACTACTACTACTACTACCACTACTACTACTGCGATTACTACCACTACTGCTACTACCACCACCACTACTACTACTGCGATTACTACCACTACTACTGCTACAACTACTTCTACTGCCACTACTACTACTATTACTACTGGTACTACCACTACTACTGTCACTACTACTACTAGTACTACCTCTGCTACTACTACTACTACTATTACAACTGCCACCAACACCAACACCACCACTACTACTACTAAAACTACTACTACCACTACTACTACTACTACGACGACGACGACGATTACGACTACGACTACAACTACGGCTACTGCGACTACTACTAGTACTATAACTACTACTATCACTACCACTACTACTACTACGACTACTGCATCTATTTGTACTACTACTACTATAACTACTACTACTATAACTACTACTACCACTACCACTACTACTACTACTACTACGACTACTGCATCTATTAATACTAATACTACGACTACTGCTACTACTAGTACTACTTCTACGACTACTGCTACTACCACTAGGATTACTACTACGACTACTGCTACTACCACTGCGATTACTACTACGACTACTGCTACTACTAGTACTATTACTACGACTACTACTACTGCGACTATTACTGTTGTTACTACTACACTTATTAGTTGTTGTTCTGTGACTGAGACTAAGTTTTCTTCAACCAAATGGATGCACGTGCGTTTGTTGTTAATATTCGTTTGTGCCAATATTCCTCGTTAAAGAGGGTTTATTGTAGGGGTAATAGCCTCAAGACATTAGAGATCTTTAAACAAAGTCAGAAACGTCAAAATATGTGGCGCGCTGCAGCGTTCGATACTGACGTCTGTCCTTAGGCCCGAAGCCGACTGAAAACCACTCGGAAAACCCACAGCCTATTGTTTTCTGTAGGTCCTTGTGGTCGACAGCATTTTCATACACAATAACTAACAGTATTATGTTTTAGAAAATATCATTCAGTAATTTGAAGGATTTTTATTTTGTTGTATAAGCAGACAAATCAGTTACTAGAGTTAAATTTAACTCTTTAACTGAGTTTGTTAGTTGTCACATTTTTGTTTGCTGGGAATTACTTATATTGTAGCTAATATATTGGCCTACATGTTGGGATCAGGACCAACAACTTGTTATGGTTCTGGGTGTTTAAGGCCTGCAGCTTGTCAGGGTTAAGGACAAACACTGGTGCGCTGCAACAAACGTAACTACGAGTACTTTACCTCAAATGAGCTTGTATACTTCAGTGGATAGAGAAGGGGAACGTACAACAATGTAGACACACCAATGGCTCCAATTAAGCCGAACGTGTACAGGTAGTACTGCGTCCCTTCTCGGTACATCTCGGCTGGAGTTCCCAGAATCAAGATGGCGGACATGAAGGACACTAGGATGGAAATGGCGAGGGGCACAGTCTTCATCTGTGTTCCACCCATAAGAAACTCTCCCGTTGTTTTCTGTTTGTTTCCGGAAAATGCATAGAAGATTCCAATTCCTGCAGACACGAGCAGCACCAGAGCAAATACCACGTAGTCGGCAGCACCAAGCACCATTACCTGAGATTCCATGGTGACTGTCGGCGTTATTCAACAGATACAACTAAATGTATTCTAATACGATTGTGATGCTGGCTTTCAGTACACCATCTACAATAGTAAACAATGGGAAGGAGACCCCGGATGTGGTCACGTGATACAACTGTATTATTGTGGATGCGAGCAGGCTTCACGTGTCTGTACGTGTACGTGACACGTCGTCATGTTTAATTGACACGCACAGCTGGATATAATGAGATTGTTGATTTGATAATGGTGATCTATGCATGTGTATTTATCATAATATTCTTAAAATACTTTGCGAAAATGTCATTGAAAAGATCTGAAAGCAGAATGCAAGCTTTGACAAGCATGGCAAAAAGTTAAATGTCAGTCAACATTTTGTCATACGTTTGTCAAATTGAGGAAATGTCGAGACTAATGTTGCCAATAGCAACATCTCCAAATACGTGTTCAAGTTGGAGAGCCCAAGCCTGCAGGTTCACGTCTTTTCGCGTATATAAGAGCACCGTTTAGGTGAGTGAGTGAGTTTAGCTTTCCACCGCACTCAGCAATATTCGAGCTATATGGCGGCGTTCTGTACATTACCGAGTCTGGACCAGACATTCAAGTGATCAACAGCAGTGACATGTGTCAACCAAGTCAGCGAGCCTGACCGCCCCATCCCATATATATAGCTGGGAACAGTGACATGTGTCAACCAAGTCAGCGAGCCTGACCACCCCATCCCATATATATAGCTGGGAACAGTGACATGTGTCAACCAAGTCAGCGAGCCTGACCACCCCATCCCGTATATATAGCTGGGAACAGTGACATGTGTCAACCAAGTCAGCAAGCCTGACCACCCCATCCCATATATATATACCTGGGAACAGTGACATGTGTCAACCAAGTCAGCGAGCCTGACCACCCCATCCCATATATAAAGCTGGGAACAGTGACATGTGTCAACCAAGTCAGCGAGCCTGACCACCCCATCCCATATATATAGCTGGGAACAGTGACATGTGTCAACCAAGTCAGCGAGCCTGACCACCCCATCCCATATATATAGCTGGGAACAGTGACATGTGTCAACCAAGTCAGCGAGCCTGACCACCCCATCCCATATATATAGCTGGGAACATTGACATGTGTCAACCAAGTCAGCGAGCCTGACCACCCCATCCCATATATATATATATAACTGGGACCCCATCCCAGTGACATGTGTCAACCAAGTCAGCGAGCCTGACCACCCCATCCCATATATATAACTGGGAACAGTGATGTGTCAACCTGACCACCCCATCCCATATATATAACTGGGAACAGTGACATGTGTCAACCAAGTCAGCGAGCCTGACCGCCCCATCCCGTATATATAGCAGGGAACCGGTGACATGTGTCAACCAAGTCAGCGAGCCTGACCACCCCATCCCATATATATAGCTGGGAACAGTGACATGTGTCAACCAAGTCAGCGAGCCTGACCGCCCCATCCCGTATATATAGCAGGGAACCGGTGACATGTGTCAACCAAGTCAGCGAGCCTGACCACCCCATCCCATATATATAGCTGGGAACAGTGACATGTGTCAACCAAGTCAGCGAGCCTGACCGCCCCATCCCGTATATATAGCAGGGAACCGGTGACATGTGTCAACCAAGTCAGCAAGCCTGACCACCCCATCCCGTATATATAGCAGGGAACCGGTCACATGTGTCAACCAAGTCAGCGAGCCTGACCGCCCCATCCCGTATATATAGCAGGGAACCGGTGACATGTGTCAACCAAGTCAGCGAGCCTGACCACCCCATCCCATATATATAGCTGGGAACAGTGACATGTGTCAACCAAGTCAGCGAGCCTGACCGCCCCATCCCGTATATATAGCAGGGAACCGGTGACATGTGTCAACCAAGTCAGCAAGCCTGACCACCCCATCCCGTATATATAGCAGGGAACCGGTCACATGTGTCAACCAAGTCAGCTAGCCTGACCACCCCATCCCATATATATAGCAGGGAACCGGTGACATGTGTCAACCAATTCAGCAACCTGACCACCCCATCCCGTATATGTAGGCGCCTCTTACGACAAGCATGGGTTACTGAAGATTACTTCCAATCGTATAGGATACTCTGGCATTCTTGCAAACGCAGTCTTTGTGTTGTAGGTAGCCAAACATGTACATATCGTCTACAAATGTAGGAAGGCCTTCCAAAGGTTGTAGATTTGTTATACCGAGATTGGCAGCAAGACATTGGCGGTATCTCGCACAAGACTGCTTTCTACGGTATCTAGGAGTAGACAGACTTTTCAATGCTTCTATGTGTGGAGGAGAAAAAATGACATCGGAAAGTGGGTCAAAATACACAGAAACGTGGACGAAAGGATACCACAAGCTTTTTCCCCATAGTCTTATTATAGGCTGTGCCTCCATAGCACAATACCCACACACACACACTCACACACACACACACACCCCTCCCCCCTTACCTATACTGCTGTTCACCGTCGGAAAGTACACACTCAAGCAGAACGACCTCTGTGGTAGGTGTTTTTCTTGTATAACAATCCAGTTATTATGATAACGACGCTCCATGATGATTATTGAAACCTGTTTATTCAATGAATGTGCTAATTTGAGTCGAGTAAGCAAATATATTGATTTGCTAGTATCAGGTATGTACCCAACAGAAGTTGGATATTTTCTTTTTTTGAAAGACACTTCCAAATTTAGTTGAATTTGAAACATTTAAAATATTGTAGAACGTATGTTTGAGTACTAAACGCCAGTACAGATGATATTTGTAAAGCTATATCGCTAACTTAAGATATTTTCAATTGCAAGTCAAATATAAAACAGAGCTTTAAGATCCGATGGTGATTATCTTGTGCAACTGAACTGCTACATTTTGGGAGTCGACTTCATGTTTGTCATATGAGGTAACTCGAGAACATCAGATGATAAAATGTTCTTGATATCGACCACTGGTTTCTGAGATATTTCTAATAATCTTTGATTTCATGTTTTTATTTGTTCCCAAGGGTACATCGTTGGCTGTTAAGTTGTGAATGTAGATCGTCATTTTGTGTCATGATTTTGAAGGTTATTATTTTTTTTATTGCAATGAACTTTAAACATTGAAAACGTCTTTGAAAACAAACAAGTTTTGGAGTATGTTGGATAATCCCACATAAATGGATATATTATTTGGCAGTTAGGATAATATGATTTAATAATGTATCACTGTATAATGTTCCAAACCAAACAAACAGGGTTTTGTTGTTTTAATTGTGTTCTCAATTTTTCTTATTCATTCAAACGTCAAGTTCGTTCCAGAAAGTTTGTGTTTCTCTACATTTCCAATAAGCATGACAAATACTCTCATTCAGCTCATTACAAAACCAGCAAACAGAATTGTCGACAACTTTCATTCAGATAGTTCATTTTTAGTATAGAAAATACCATGTGAAAACAGGTATTGGAATTGTTACACAGAGCATTTAATAAAGTAATGGTCTCCAGTTCTTCAATAAGGTCCTATTCTAGCTGTAGGCATACAAGTGATAACACCTCCCTTCATGGTAAGAGACATCTTATTTCTTCTTGAAACATTTTTGATAACCTAAAAATCCAAAACTTTAAATTCGTTCCAGAATACTTTATAGAAACCAATCGGAAATCCATCTATTTCGGGACTTTTGTTACTTTTCATACTTTTCCAGCCAATGACATTTCATTTATGTCTATTACCTTTTTCAGTTTGTCTCTCAGTTGGTGACTCAGCGTTGGAATCACATTTTCGAAATGGGCATCATTCTCATAATTCTTATCAGAAGAATGTATATTTTTATATAAAACCTTTTAAGATTGCATCACTGCCTGTAGTTTCTTCATCTTCATCTGTAATAATCTTATTAATTGATTTGCTGACATAATTCCTATTTTCTAAATGACAGAAATATTTTGTTGGTTTGTTCCTTTCTTCATACCAAAAAATTCTGTTTCTGAGCTGAATTCCTCTTATCTCTTCTTCCGAAATTTGTTGTAGTTCTGATTTAAATTTGGAAAGTTCAGATAGTAAGACTTCATCTACATTTTGAAAATCTTTTCTAGTAGTATTTTCACAGTCTCTTATTTTGGTTTCGAATTCATTAATTTTATTCTTTGTCTTAATTTTCAGATAAGATGAAAAAGATATTGATTTACCACGGACATTCACTAGAAATTTTTCTAAGAATAATTTGTCATCTTCCATAAGTTTGATATCTGAGTCATTCACATTCCCAACGTCAGATTCAGTATCGGGGTATTCTTCAGTTGTCTCCCTTAAGATTGATCTGAGTAAATCAGCATATTCAGGGAGTAAGAGTAAAGAAGTATTGAGTTTCCACTAACCCATCCCTCCGTTTTGATTAATAGTGTTTGAGAAACTAAAGCTAATAGCTGAGTGATAGCTGAGTGAGGTATAATGTCATGCTGAGTGATAGCTGAGTGAGGTATAATGTCATGCTGAGTGATAGCTGAGTGAGGTATAATGTCATGCTGAGTGATAGCTGAGTGTGCTTGCTGTCTGGGGGTTTTCCACCAGGTTATTTTCTTAAATCAGGATTTAGTTTTCTCCTGATATCAATAAGATCTAAGGATTCAATTTTGTCAAACAATATCTCTGGCCCTAATATTTTTGTAATTTTCCAAATAATTTGTAGGATTAAGAACCAAATTCCAATGAAAAACAATAGCTGTGGATTCATTGTCAAAATTACAAATGTTTTCAAATATTTTAAAATAAAAATGGGGATCATGAATATTAGGTCCATATATATGTGTAAGGGTAAATCTTTTATCATCTACGGTTACATGTGCAACAATATAATCACCGTTTTCATCCTCTAGTGTTCTGTGTATAGTAAGATCAATGTCATTATTCAAAGCCAAGCTACCCTTCTGGGGTTAGATCTAAAAGGTGCAATTATACTTTGCAACCCCATTCATATTTCACGCTCTTAAGATCTTCTTTAGTTACATGGATGACTGTACACAAATTATAGACCATGCTTTTTTTCTGAAATAAAT